TAAGCCATCACTAAAAAGCACAATTTCACACTGCATACGCTCCATGGTTGATTTCTATACTAGGACATTTAACCACCTGGTTTGCAAACTTTATTATCAATAGCAATAAGATGCACTAGCAAATTTATTCACTAAATATTACATTATCAGAAACTGAAAATAAATCCAATATGATTTTCACATTTAGACCAAAATGGCATTACCTCTTTTAGAAACTGTTCAAATTGCTCATCTAGCTCCTCTTTGGACAGACGATGAGCCATTTCTTTCTTGATCTTGTAACCCTCGATGTTTTCCACAATATTAAGTAGGTCTAGACTTGGGAAATAAATCCAGAAATTCAAATTACAAAAGCAGAATTTAAAATGTATTCAGGTTCTGAAAAAATAAATATAAAAAAAGGAAAATCTCTTTGGAAAAAGAAACAAACTACATGAGGTACAATATATATGCAGAAACAGACTCCAACCCAAAAAAAAAGACAGCTCAAATAAGTTTGTATCGTACATGTTAGGTTGTGGATATTTTTTATATATTTTGTATTTACATATTTACATTGCATTTTCTATAATAGGATTATGGAGTATTTAGATTATGACTCAGAGAAAAAAGGGCTATAAATATATGCATGGTGAGTTGTCACCACCTGCTGCAGGAACAACACCTACATTAAGTTATATTACACAAAAGACTATAAAATATCTGTAATACAGTACTAGTTTCTTTCTGAATATATTTTGAGTGTCCTTTAGTAGGAGGAGAGCATCTTTCCAGTGCATCTGTCACTGTACACACAATTTATGCTCAATGTAAAAGCATGTAAGAGAATGTATACATTATTCTAGCAAGCATATAGATTAAGAGAAATCAAAATAAATTGTTGGCATTTCCCTCACATGCCAAATGCCAAGTAATTCTCAGCATACAGCGTGAATACCAAGGATAGAATGTCAAGCAAGGAGCAGGAAAATATAGGTAGCTCTCCTGATTACATCAAATAAAATACAGCACACGCACAGCTATATAATTCAGCAGCTGAGATTACGCCATCATCTTGCTTGTTGCTCGGGAATTATAAGAATAAAAGGGCTCAATTTAATATTTTTGAATAAGCTTTTCAAAAGATTTAATATTTTCTGAGAAACTTTTAAAGTGAACGAGTTTGACAATTCAATATTCAGATTTTTTTTATATCTTAATTTTTTTTTAAACAAATAATTTTATAACTTTATCTACAAATATGAATTTGCTTGGAAAAATATTACATAGAAGCCAAAGTGAGAGAAGTTAAGTTGGTCTCAAACCAATGCGGTGCATGTCAGTGTGTTAGGTAATAAGTATCCTGGGATTTGACAAGTTCACTTTAGCCACAGTAGTTATTGGCATTTATTTTTTGCATTATAAACTGCTCTGTGACTTACTCATAAAGCATTTCAGATGCTAATTTCATGGTAAAAGGCAGGGCTCAAAATTTTCAATTACCACTATAGAAAAAAAATGTGGCCCTGAAGAGTAGCAATTTGCCTTGGCTATAACTTGTAGTGGAGAGTAATACCGAACTTCAAATTTTAAGCTCTGTTAAAAGGAATAGTCCAGGCAGGGGAAGGAAACCTTCGGCGCTACAGATGTGTTCAACATCTCCCATAATGCTTTTAGAGGCATAATGCTGATAAAGTAACAGGGGAGATGTAGTAAAGAGCATCTGAGGTGCTGAAGATAGACTATCCCAGGGATAGTCTATGTACTAAAACCACTACGGCTACAGTGGTTAAGGTGCCAAATGTCTCCTTTGCTGTCCCACGATAAACAGTCAATACATTTTTAAATACTTTGATACTTACCTGGATCTCCTATATGCCTCTGGACTGGCCTCCAACAGTTGTTTGGTCTCTACTCATATTTCTATTGCGAATAGAGAGCCTCCATTTTAATCAGATCAGAAGAGGAAGCCAGACACAAACGCTTAGTGGAACTACGCAAGTGTAAATATTTGTATATGGATAGACTAAATATTATGGAACTCCTGAAATTTTAATTTTACTCAACGCGAATAGAGTATTTTAATATTAACAGTCATTATTAAAATGCACTTTTACCTTAACTTGTTTAATTTAAGGATTAACTATATAAGCATCACAACTTTAAACCTACTGACTTCACATTAGGAGTGTAAAAGTAAACAGGTGTCAAGATTTTGAAATCCCCAACAGGAAGAGGGATGAGCTGTACATATATTCCATGGAGGCTAACGTTGTGGCACTATACATGTTCGTGGAAGGACTGCATTAGCTATGGGCCCATTCTGTAACATGTCTGGCTGAGCGTCACAGCAAGTCTAAGGCACAGGTTTGTGGCTCAGCATTATGGGACTTGCAATTTACAATAGAGGACAAGCCAGAGATGGTCTCACTATCTCCCCACTGTAAGCTGCACTGGGCACTGGCATTGTTTAATGTAATCTGGGGATACCGCCCTGTGCTCCAGGGAAAAAATACCCAGCACACGAGTGCCCCCAGCCCTGCAGATTACAATTTGACGCAATCCATGGTGTTAGCGAGTAGATGCCTCCTAGCTAACCACATCATGGCAGTGTCCGGATTTGGGAGATGGCATGCTAATAGAGATGCTCCAAATTTAATATAATTGTTTTTAGTATATTTGTATGGCGTACCATAATAGAAATGCAAAAAAAAAAAAATATATAATACGCTAAAATACACTTTTACCCCTGAAACTATAACCACTACTGTGGGCTGCAGTGGTTATGGTAACTAGACTGATCCTCTAAGAATGCCATTTATGATGGGTATTGACTCAAAGCTTAAAGGGACACTGTAGGCATCCAGACCACTTCAGCCCATTAAAGTGATCTGGGTGCCCACTCCCATCACCCTTCAAGTGTTTTTATATACTGTAATAATTACCTTGCAGGGTTAAGTCCTCCTCTAGTGGTCGTCTAAACGATGCTGGACGTACTCACGTTATGCATGAGGACCGCCGGAATCCCCATAGGAAAGCAATGAATAATGCTTTCTATGGGGTTGTCGAATGCGCAGCGCCATTGCCGTGCATGCGCATTAGGTCTCCCTTGCCGGCGGACATCGGCGGGAGAGGAGCCTGACCCAGCGCCAAGGAGGGACATCGGCGCTGGATTCTGTGGGGGGGGGGGGAGGCAGAAGGAAGGGGGGGGCATTTCAGGATTCTACAGTGCCAGGAAAATGGCTATGTTTTACTGGCACAAGAGAATCCCTTTAAATTTATGCTAACTGCAACAATATATTGGCCAAGGATATTATGCTTACTGACCAACATCAAATAACTATTTGTAGTAAGGTGTTCCATTCTGAGTATAGTCCAGGGGTCCTCAAACTTTTTAAACAGGGGGCCAGTTCATGGTCCCTCAGACACAGTTGGGGGCCGGACTATAAAAAAATATTAACGAATCCCTATGCACACTGCACACACACGCATAAGGACATAAATACACACACACATACTGACATACAAACATACATAAACAGAGACAAAGATATACACACAGATACATACTGACATACATACACAGACCGACACACATACATACACCTACACACACAGACATACACATAATACTGAAATACATACACATACTGACATAAATACATACACACATAGACAGACAGACATAGCTAATTTTGCTTACCTTTTTTTTTTCCAGGAGGGTGGCTGATGGGAGTCGGCATAGCTCCCACGGCCTGGCTCTCTTCCCTCCCGCGCGGAGGGAGCTGGGAGGAAGTGACTACCGGCCATCACTTCCTCCCAGCAGTACTTTGCAGCTGCGATTTTTTTTAAAGGGGCCAGGTCGTGCTATTGCACTGACTGGGTCCCTGAAGATATAGGGCCATCTGGTGGCCCTGAGTGCTGGGGCCAGGTTCCGGACCCTGGCGGACTGGACACGGCCCGTGGGGCCGTAGTTTGAGCACCCCTGGTATAGCCCATTCAAAAGAAGTATTGTGTTATGCACAAAAATGAAAATTCTTGTGACTTAACCTGATTGTAAAATGCAATCTCAAATTTCATGTTTTGGTGTTTTTTTTTTAATGCTGGTTACATTAGTTTAACAGGGTTCTTCAATAAAGTGGGAATTCAAAGTGAATTTCAAATATAGGTTCAAAGTAGGTGAACAGGAATCATTCTCTAAGCTAGCTATGCTTACAGTTAAAGGACCACTATAGGCACCCAGAGCACTTCAGCTCAATGAAGTGGTCTGGGTGCCAGGTCCCTCTAAGGTTAACCCTGCCTGCTGTAAACATAGCAGTTTCAGAGAAACTACTATGTTTACATATGGGTTAATCCAGCCTCTAGGGGCTGTCTTATTGACAGTCGCTAGAGGCGCTTCCGCGCTTCTCACTGTGATTTCCACAGTGAGAAGACGCTAGCGTCCATAGGAATTTATTGAGAATGCTTTCCTATGGACTGACTGAATGCGCACGCGGCTCTTGCCGCGCATGCGCATTGGGTCGAAGAGGGAGGAGAATCCCCAGCGCCGAGGGAGCCCGGCGCTGGAGAAAGGTAAGGGTTTAACCCCTTCCTCCCCCTAGAGCCCGGCAGAAGTGGGACCCTGAGGGTGGGGGGGACCTAAAGACCATATAGTGCCAGGAAAACAAGCTTGTTTTCCTGGCACTATAGTGGTCCTTTAAGCTACGTTGGCCTTACATTTGCAAATCACTTTGAATTCACTCTCAAATATCACTTTTGTGAATAACCCAGCAAATGTTGCAATTTGTATGTTAATTCACTGTTTAGTGAATCAACCCCTAGTATATCAAACTGAAAGTGCACAAAAGTACACTAAACAAGTGAGGGCTAACATCTGGCACCCCAACTATTTAGGATTACATATCCTATGATGCTCAGCGTGCCAACAGCCTAAGTGGGTAGGTAGTCGGCACAGACATACTTTGCATTGTGCTCAATAATATTTCTGTTTCATCAGCATGTATGGTAGGGGTGGCTAAATGCTAGCTTGAAAGTTGTATTAAAGGAGTCACAGATAAAGCTCTCAACAGGATCTTCTCAGGTACTAAAATGCAAATAAATAAATAAATAATAATAATAATAATAATACAACATGTTCACATCTGCCATGGTGCCCTCCCCACTGCACAACTACACACTGAGCGCACTGCACAGCAACTACACACTGAGCACTGCACAATAAATACAATACATATAGCATACTGCACAGCAACTACAAACTGCGCGTACTGCACAACAAATACTAACACAGCGTACTGCACACAGAGTTCTGGCACAAGTTTATGGAATTGCTATAACTGGCCCATTGGTGTATGTTAGAAGCATAGTACATGCCCAGCCTCCCCAACTCCGCTCACCTGCTCGCACGCACTGCCAGGAGGTGATGGATTCAGGACTCCCCCCGCCTCTCCACCGGTTGCTTGTTATTACTATGGGATACCGGTGGAAAGGGCAAGTCGCATGCGCCTTGAGAGACGTGGTGACGTCACGCGCAAACCTGGCGCCTGTGTCCCGGGCTGTGAGATTGAATGGCGCTCGTGCGCGTGGTGTACTCAGTGGCGGGGGAACAGCGCGCGAGCCCGGGAATGGGGAGAAGCCGGGGATTAGCGATGATGTGATGTGGGATGTCACACGGACTGAATGGGTGTCATGGAGGCCACGTGTGTGAGCTGTACGAGGAGAGCGCATCATAATGGCGTTTTATAGTACAGTTATTTACTAAAGATTATAGTGTCAGGATTTTGACATTTAGACAGGTGTTACCTCTCGTAGAAGCTGTTCATACTGCTGATCTAGCTCCTCTCTGGGCAGGCAGTGAGCCATGTCTATCTTGATCTTGTATTTAATTTTTCCCCCCACAGTATTAATCCCATAAAGACACAGTTTCAGAAACTGCATATACAGATTGGAATGCCCATAGAGAATAATGGAAACAAAATATTTAAATTAGAGACAACCTATTAGACATATGAAATACATTTTTTGCTGACAAAATTCAGATTCAGTGTCAAATTTTAAGATTAAGTGGGATTATCAAAATTTTCTATTGAATGACTAAAGAGAATGCCCATAGACTATAATGGGAGGCAGCACAAACTCATTCACAGGCAAATCTGTATTCTGTAGCAAATTCATCTTTACCACAGGTGTTCCCCAAGTACAGCATCAGATTGTAAAATTAAATGTAACTGGGATTATAGCTCTTTTCAATGGAATGACAGGTAAATGATACAATGGAATGCCCATAGAGTAGAATGGGAAGCAATATGTGACTTGGAATCTGAACTGTGAAACATATCTAGTAAATCTTGTGCAGGCATACTCTACGAGTTCAGTGGCAATTTTTGAAATTGAGATGAAGTGGGGTTATCATTGTTTTTTCTGTGGAATGACGAGCGTAATATACAGAAGGGACCGCCAATAGATTATACTCGGAAGTAAAATGCAACCTTATTAGCAGGCAAACACACTAAAATTATATACAAACTGCATTCAAATACCAACACTACACACAAAAGCAGCATACCTGCATTTAAAAGCTAGCACTACACACAAGTACACCACTACATTCCAATGGCAACAGTACATACAAATATATCCCTGTATTAAAACACAATAACTATATACAAGCACCTCTTCAAACACCAACACTGTACATTACACTATAGCTCCAGTAAAAGGCGGCAGCACTGTACAGATATACAACCTAGAAATTTTAAAATGGGGTGCCTTGGGAAAATACTGAAATATTAAGGGCGCCTTGAACCTAAAATGTTTGGGAACCACTGGGTTAGCCAATGGAATCAAAACATAGCTAAACAGCAAGGCAACCAAACCACTTATTATTATTGGTATTTATATAGCTCCAACTTATTCCACAGTGCTTTACAATATTATAAAAGAAGGAAATTTAAATAAATGAGACAATTATAAAGTCTTACATGAACAATAGGTTGATGAGGATCCTGCTCAGACAATACAAAAGACAAAAAGATTAGATACTACTATTCCCAGTGCGGACAAGGCTCTGAGCTCAGAAGCATCTCCTGGATATATACATAGTAATGTACAAATAATAACAATACTGGTATGCTGGCTAATAAACAAAAATAGAATAAATAATAATGAGACCAAAATTTATTAAAATAAAGTATATACAAGTGATTCAAATACTACTATGCATCAAGAGATGAGAAACAGGGTAGGGGTATGGCACATAAATGTATAGGGGTATGATATCCAATTATGAAATGAAGCTTTATTACAAAAATGGCTAGAAATGAAAAGGATAATCCCAATATTATCCCCTAGCCCTGGTATGTCTCAAAGTGTCCTCTCAGTAACACTGTACCCTAAATAGCTTAGCCCAGAATCTGTTCTTAAAATTAATTAGCACCATAAATGAGCAGTGAAATGTGGTCTGGGGCTAATCATAGTCCCAACTGTCTAACCTGAATTGGCATAGGTAGGTTGAGAGTACAGACCAAACTGCAGAGGAGGGATATTGTCAGTAAGAAGGTAGAGAGAGTAGGCAATATAGAATCAGAGGGTCAGTTTAAAATAAACTGACAATGCAAGTTATAAAAGCCTCTCTCCCTGTTAAACTAACTAGACAGGCATAGCAGCAGAAAATAAGGAAGTGGAAATCAAAAAGTTACACAAATCATATTAAAATACAAAGTGCTAAATCCACAAGTGCCCATAACCTAAGTGAACAGAAAGCACGACGCGCGTTTCGGTGCCTTTTGAGATGCACCTTCGTCAGGGGCCAACAGCAAAGTGAAAGGGTCTCACTTAAATACTTTAGGCGCCAGAAAACATGGAATACCTGCAGCCAATGGTGTCCAGGGGAGTATCTTGCAGGTGATGTCGGCAGGGTCTGTAATCGTCATGTGAGGTCCTGACCCACGTGGGCAGGGAGGTGCCAAAGAACGCTGTCCAAACCATTGAAAGGTAGGCGTGTACCTCCGCCGGCTCAATGCAATAGGCTTGAAGTGGTTGGAGCCAAATAGGTTTGGAGCGATAACCAAGGAACAGTGGGCTAGATTGACATATAGCCCAGCCGATTGAAATGATGTGGGCGGGTCCAAAACGGACTTAGCTGGCAATCTGATGGATTCCCAATTGCATCACATACAGGCTAACCGATCATAACTAAATATTGCCCTGTGATAAATATTCAAATTTATAGAAGCTCCCCCAGGGGGATATATAATCCCCTAAGTGGTGCATAGATATTAGTATTGTCAGCCTTATATTTGCATCTCCACTATACATATAGTCCTGCTCAGACAAGCTTACAATCTAGAGACACTTAAATTAGATGAAGTGATCTGGTTGCCTATAGTGTCATTTTCTCTCTGTGCTCCTAACCTGGCTTGCCCTTGCACTCAGGATGACACCTGTTATCCTGTGCTCAGCTAGTTCAAGCACATCCGCTCACTCTATTGGTTAAAAGCACAGTCACAAACTTGAAAATGTTTAAATTGTAACAAACTTTTTTAAATCTATATTTTATATATGCATTGTAACAAACATAGCATTTCATAAGAGCTGTCTAACCCAGTGGTTCCCAACCCAGCCCTCAAGGCACCCCGACCAGTCCAGGATTTAAGGATTACCAAGTTGTGTGTAAGGTGTTTTTTTTCTTCTTTGTAAAAACACCTTAGACACAACTGGGTAATCCCTAAACCCTGGACTGGTCAGGGTGCCTTGAGGACTGGGTTGGGAACCACTGGTCTAACACACCAGACTGATCAGCAGTTGCCAACTGAAGCCAAAAGCACTTCACTGAAAAGAAATTGGTGCTGCATAGATGTGTGGCCGTAATTAGGATTTATCATTAGAAGAAGTCTACAAAATCCTTTCTAAAATAGAATTTTAGGAACGCAAACTAATATCACTGCCACCTGTACTACCAAGAGGAGGTGAAGTGTTTCTCTATTGCCTCTCAGATACAATTGCTGGTCATGAGCATGACTTCCGATATGATCAGTACAGATGGATATCCAAAGGATCAAACTTTCATGTTAAGCGCAAGTATCTTCCGAAAGTACTTGAAAGATACTATTACTTAAAGGATCCAAATGGGGAAAAGAAAGATTCTTTGCATGCTTTTTCGCAAACGTGTATACTGCTTACGAGAATGTAAAAATTCAAGAAAACTTTATCTACTACATTACTTGGGTGATGAAAGTTTACATCGTGAAGTATAACATGGGAACAGTAAACTATCTAACAAACCTTTTGTTTCCACAATGAAAAGTGCCATCACAGAAATAAAGGAGTTTATGCTACAGAGAGAGCCATTGACCACTTACAAACATTTACTAAGCCAATATTCGTACCATGGATCTAACAAGCACATGAGTGTTGACCGGCCCAGAAACTTAAATCAGATGCAAAATTTCTCCTATCAGGAAAAGAAGAAAAGAGTCTGCAGTGATGAAATATTTAGTCTCCTTGAACTGGCAGTTCACCTTGATGATTATATTAAAAAAAAAAAAAAGGTAACAATTTTTCCAAATCTTGTAGTTTCATTTGGACACCCAGACATGTTACTGACAGAGAAAGGGGTATTGCAGAACCTATGAAGTAAAAACTATGAAGGAAACTATGAAGTAAAAAAAAGAGTTTTCACATCTGAGAAGAAGAGTGACAGATATAGTATTCCCTGCTTTTTATCCACTTGAAACCATAATTGAGAACATCAAAAGCTCAGGTCCTGAGCCAGTGAAAGGAATTGAAAAGAGGAAACATTACTGAATGAGCCAAAGGTCTTTAGCAAAATACTGCATAGAATCTGGTGGTATTACCCTCTGTCCACAGTCTTCAACATTTGTTGTACGTGACATTTTTGGTAGAGTACATGCAGTAAACCTTCTTCCCAAACCTGCTGTTTGTTCTTGTCCCAGCACAGGGCTGTGCTAGCATATTATAGCAGCTCAAATGTTGGTTACTTACTCATTGTCTATGCTTTGCAAAAAAGCGAAGGAAAGTGGATTATGATTATGATATTGAGCCAGCAACTGATTCAGTTCTTTACTGTTCACCTGAGAGAGGACATTTACAACATAGAAGTTCTGTAGTTCAGATGTCTCAATCCAAATTAAAGCCAAAGTTTGAGATCTCTGACATAACCATTGAAAACCAACCAAAAGACTCTACACCAAAAAAAAGAAATGGCTCAAGGAAACAAATGGATGTAGACAATGAATTGTCTCCATGGGATGTTCCAGCAGCAGATCTGGATTACAAGCTGTTAGATACAGTGGAAAAATAAATTCTGAAAACATTGGATCCTGGAGAATGGCTTTGTGATGAAGTTATAGAAGAAGCCATAAGCAATTTTTATCTGTCAGAAAAATCTCACAGCAAAGGTTTTGCTGTGTCCCACCTTCATTTACCAGAGTATGGTAAGAGGCGCAACAGACATATTTTACAGCTTTGTGGGGAAACATGTTACCTTAAAGGCATTCTCTTGCTTCCTCTCAGATGCCTGGGGGCCTGGACAACACTGGTGCATTTCTGTCATAATTTTTAACACCAAAGAAGTCATTTTGTTTTAGATTCCATGAAAGAAAAAGGAAGAACAAAAGAACATGCTGATATTGTTTTATCAATTGCTGCTGCATGTTATTAGTTAGCAAACATAGCTTTTGCCAAAGAGCCATGGACAGTATACCTTTGTG